TGACTGACTCACTTCTGAGGAACTTTTTGTACGTTTTCAATCTTGATAGGCATGAATATAATCTTTTTAATTTAACAAATTGTTCGATATGTTTTCCATTCCCTTTCAGTTCTTTGAGACAGTTGTCAGGTATGACAGATTTTTCAGCATCCAAAGTCAACACATTCCAGCAGTACTGGTGAGAGTTTTGGATTGAACTTGATTTTACAATGAAGAAATGTAAAATGGTTTCCGTGTTTACATAGCCTGATGTAAACAAGCGCGAGGTTGGGAGAACACGAGATAAGCTTAGGAAACCACGACGCGAAGCGGAGTGGTTTCCAGCTTATCTACTATTTGAATTATTTTATAAAGCCATCTTTTAAAGTTTTCTTTGACAATCCTTCAGAGTCATTTTCAATTTAGTGTCAAAACTGTTCAAGGATTTGGATGTACACAACCTTCTAGACCAGTCAGATTCAAACAAAAACAGATATTGACTTGGTCACTTGAACTCCAATGAGGCTTTTTTTTTTATCTGCCCACTTTGATTGCTCATTTGCACGTCTTTGATATTTTCCTTGTTCACATTGCTCATTGTTATTTCGTTGGTTTTGGTTTAATGTCACTCAAGCAAAAAGTGTTTTACAGACATAGACATAGCAGTTCCCCTCCCCCTCACGATCTCTACATGTACTTCAAAGAGACAGTTGTGGTTACAACTCCCTGTCAAGTACGCACTGTATCTGTGTATCTGTGTGGTCTCCTCTAGGTTTGCCTGTTAGGCTTGAATTGATTGTAACTGATGATTTATCTAGACTCTTGTCCTTCGAAGAAATGTATTTTTTGCTGTAATAAAAAGAGTTTAAAACTTTTTGTGTCCTAGATTGCTTTCCTCGATGAGAGAGGACTCCGGAATCCAAACTGCACTGTTAGGAGCCGATGTTCCTATCTGTTTTCAAGGTTTATCAAGTCTCACAAGTAAGTTTCATTGTGGAGATTTGCCAAGAGTTATCTGTTAAATAATTTTGCTGTCAAGATAATGTATGGATATTATAGGGAGAAGGTACATGTTGCTCACTTCTGGGATTTAAATTTTGAGCGTTGTGTTCTGTAAATGTACATAACTTTCCTCGCAATATCAGACATAATCACAAGTATTCGCTGACTTTGTTAATTAGCCTGGGTAAGGATAATCTTGTAACAGTAAACTCTCTTGTACTAATTTACTTGCTTGTTTCAGGGGAATCATGGTGAACTATGCTCATGATGTTTTAAAGAGACTACAGGGACTTCTTGTCATATCTGCAGTGAGTATGAGCAAAACTATTTTACTGCTACCTTGTCATACTCTATGAGGGAGACGCGATAGGCTTGTGGTTACCGCTGGACTGTGGGCTCAAAAAGTCGGCGTTCGATACTTGGCCGGGTCTGTGTGCTGTGTTCTTGAGCAAAGCACTAAACTTTCACTGTACTTCACTCCACCCAGGAGTATAAATGGGTACCGGTAAATTATCAGGGAAGCCTGATGAAATTCTGAAGGGTAACTGTGCAATGGACAGGTATCGCATCCAGAGGGGAGTAGCAATACTCCTAGTCGCTTCATGCCATGGAGATCAGGATAAGTTGTGGATGGACCAGTTGGCTCGAGTACAGAGTAAACCTACCTTCCTATTCCTCCATAACATTTGATAACCCAGAACCTACACGTACTTATTAAGCTTGTATTTGAAATTGGGTTTCTTCTTGGGAGAAACAAACGCTTAAGGTTGATTATAATTTGGTCAGTCTTCACTGTTCACACAATCCAAGGTCTCTCCGTTCTTATTCTTTATTGTGATTTTCCTTTCTTTTGAAGGACAATGGTTACCAGCAGCTTCTATCTGCAGATGATCGGGTATTAAAATTTTTTTTTTTTTGAATGAAATCAATCCTTATATTTATTTGGTCAGTTTTTGAAATATTGTCACGAGTTGTTCTAATCCTTTCGCTCTCAGAGGTGATCAGCAAGGAATTTCTCCTTACAATATCAATACATTTTCAACCAGATATAGATAACAAAAAAAAAGAAATGTAACAACAAGGAGACAGTGCATGATTAAATGCTAGATTCTCAGACCAAGAATTATAAAAAATGTGTGGTGGTCAGTGAGGGGAAGTTGGTATTTAGATCTTGGCAGTGAGGAGGTTAATGGCGGTGGCTTATTGACGCAATCGTTGATCACTTGTTTTTGAAAGTGTTTAAGATCCAATTTTTTTTTTGTGAATTATTTTCTTGTAGTTGTTCCTTTATGAGAGCGCAGGTATTCTCATTGTTGCTAGTGGAGCAGTACCAGAGGTAAGAAATTTGGGAATAAGTAAATAGTAGCTGGGAATGCCTCAAACCTATGGTTGGTAGAGTTCAGAGCACTTTCCTTTGCCTTTACCCAAAACATGAAGATCTATTTGGACCTAGTAATCCGCCTGATACAGATAGAACAGGGTTAGATTTAAGACTTGGTACAAAATTCAGTTACTGCTCAGGAAAAGCGGCCAATTGAACCTTTAACCCTTAAGATGGATTAGCCTCTAATTTATCCTCGCAATATCACCCCTGAATCAAACATTGGGGTGACAAGAATAAAAGAAAGGTCACTTACTAGAGAAGCTCTTTGTTTTGGAACAAATTCCCCTTCTTAGCGCCTTAGGAAATGTATAAAGAACAGTATGGAGTAAAGGGTTAACGCCTAAGAGTGACCCTACTACAGTGTTCTCCTTTTCAGGCGGTAACCAGTAACATTTACCGCCTGTAGTACCTCTTATTACCGTTTAAAATTGCTTGGAATTCTTGAAATTTAACGGGTGAAAGGATTGCTTTACCGGTTAGAAAATTTACTTTACCTGTCATGCTTAAAATAAGGGAGAACACTGTGACCCTAATCCTAATTTCTCCTTACAATATTAACCCTTTACACCCTAACGTCAGTACGCATATTCTCCATACTGTTCTATATACATTTCCTAAGATGCTGATAAGGAGAATTTGTTTAGCAATCAAGAGTTTCTTTAGTTGGTGATCATCTATGCAGATGGCCAAAAAAAATTATTTTATACGCAATGCCCGTTTACACAACGGAGAATACAAAAATCGTCTATTTTTAGATCAAAATGTTTGATCTCATACCCAGCTTCAGACTGAATATAAAAATCGTACCAACACCTTTTGGTGTAATTCTTAGCTCTTTGTCATACGATAAAGAAATTTCCATAGAATTGCAGGGAAGCTACTGCACTTGCAAGGGTCTCGTTTGTTATCTACGACTCGTAAGCGACGAAGTTAACTTGATAATTTTTCTTTATCTTTTCATTTTCAGAAGCAGCTGATGTACATGAAGGACTTACTGTCCCCTATCATCGAAAAGTTTGATTCAGTTGTTAGCAAGGTAACGATACTTGCATAGTGAAACCCCTCCAGTCAATACATAGAAACAAGGATATATCCACGTTAAGTCAGAAAGTCAGTTGGTAATCAGTGATTTGAACCAGAATGCTTCTCAACTGAGTTTTGTAATGGAACCAAATCCTTAGTAATCACAACCGACCAATCAGAGCGAGGGAAAATCTCATAAAGAGCCAATGAGAACTCAGAGTAAGAACAAGCCTACTACCTAAAGCGCGGGAAAACGCAGATTTTCTGTTGTTTTTTTATCTGCAATCCCGGATGACCTTTGACACTCAAGTGGAGATTGCCATCATGTGACTTTTTTCAGTTAGCTATTGCTGTAAATCATTATTTATGGTATTTTTATTTCATTTCAGCTAATGTCGGAGACCAATGATGCCTCTTCCCTGGTGTTTGCCCAGCAGCTCTATCATCTTGTTGCATATGCAAGGTAACTCTAGGGATTTTACAAGATTTTGTGTCACAAAACGGAAAAAATTGCGCTTTCTCTATGATATTTCTTATCTTCATGGACTTTATTGGATTGTTGAACTAGAGCCGCCTAGAGATTTTAGAAAATACTTGATTATGTGACGAAATTTTTATTGAGTATCGAAAGCGTCCTAGATTCCTTTGGGTTTACTAAACAACGTGGGATTTGTGGTAGCCTGAGATTGACACCTTTTTTGCGTTTTTTTCCGAAAAGCGGAAGAAATCAAAATCAGAAGGAGAGCGCTATGGGGAGTCTAGCGCCAGGGAAAGGAGTGTGGGGGAGGGGAAGGGGAGAGCAAAAAAATTACATTTCAGTTACTTCTTTCGAGCCCCCCTCTTCGCGCGTGCTTCGTCACTCATCCTGTCCTTGCGCTCATCTCTGTTCGTCAATGGAACGGAAAAATGTCGCCTATCCCTAAGGCTAGCTACATGATCCGTTTCCAACCTAGCTTGCAAATAGGCGTAATTTTTGTTTTTGCCCTTTTCTGTCGAACGGAGGCAAGGCGTAGTGCGAATCTTGTGCTCCTCCCCTCGCGCTGGACTTACACTTTGCGCTCGCCTCGCGTTTGCCTCCATTCGCCCCAACGAATCAGATGAAAATACAAAACCAAACACAGCTTAAACAGTCGCATTTTGCTGTATTCACGACGGTTTTGCTTGTTCTTACTTCAAGTTCTCGTTTGCTCTTTATAATAATTTTCTTTATTCTGATCGGCCATCATTATATCGTTGATCCTGATTTTAGGACACTCACTACGAAAACGACCTGATAAGCTTCTGCTTTCTTTTATTTCAGTCGAGCCAGTAAAGCTTTCCCCAACCAGCAAGCCCTAAAAGAAAGTGGCTGTGCACCATGTTTTACAGAGGTAACGTTAACCCTTTACACCCTAACATCAGTATGTCTATTCTCCATACTGTTTTCTAAACATTTCTTAAGGTGTCGACAAGGAGAATTTGTTTAACAATCAAGAGCTTCTTTAGTTGGCAATCATTTCCCTTATTTTCGTGAGTTTCGTGTTTGATTCAGAGGCGATATTGTAAGGAGAAATTAGTCGCTGGTCCCTACCCGTTGTATTGTGTCACCAGAATGGTTAGGAGCTGTAAGTGCACTGGAAAAAAAAACAGCAAAAGAAAAACCGAAAAAAAACGCTTCTCATCAGGATAGACTGTTCCCGATTTATTTACTTTTACATTTGCATTTCCACTTTTCAGGCTTTGCCGATTTTCCTCAAAGCGCTGCACGTTCCCATTCATCGAGACACCATTCACTCTGGCGTACGGCAGTACCTCCACAGGATGATTGTTTGCCTGGGCGAGGGAGTGCTACCCTTCATCCCTGTTGCAGTTTCACATTTGCTGGAAGATTGCACGGTAAGTACCAATGGAGGCATGACGTACATACTGATGAAGAAGGCAAAGGTTGGAAATGAAATATTACAATGTATTTCCCTTGGTGGGAAGCTAGTCTATGGCAGATTCTCCTTAATATTTCATCATTCCCGAGGCTCGGTGATGCTCCTTGAGATGGATTGGGTTTTTGTGTAAAGTTTCAGCTTGTACGATAAGTGCAATTACGTCAGTAAGGGGGGTAAGGTTTTAAGAAAGCTGTAGTGCTGCGTTGGTGGGAGAGTATAACGGGGTAATTTAGTATTATCAACTGAGCTGATGATGTAAAGTAGCCATCGTAAAGAGTTTAAAAGCTGAAGTTTCAAGCATTAGCCCTTCGTCAGAGCGATTGGAGGAATTGTAAGTTATGTGCTTATATGCCGAAAATGGAGCTACGCTATTGGTGGAAATATGGTGACGAGAAAACAATAATAAATTAAAAGCGCTCTGTGATACCGTGGGGATTATTGGGGATTTTGTTCTAGAGTTTTGCCGCTTTTCAGCCTGCTTAAATGTAGGGAAAGGCCGCAAATTGCCATATGCTGCTTAGAACGGTCAGGGAGATTTAAGTGTGTAGAAATTGGTTTGGATGCGTCCTTGTCATTTCTTTCTACGTCGCGAAGGTGTTCTCGGAATCATTTAGAGCTTGGTGGTGCCCGTTTCGATCCAGCCTGCTAGACACTAGACCTCCCCCTCTTCCTTCTCACTAAAGAACGAGACTCGCTTGTATGCCATATGCTGGGCTTGAACCAAAATCTGACTGCATTTAATTTTCGAAACGCTCACAGGGATACCAGCACAGTACTTTCTAACTTAAGTGATTCAAAGATTTTCTTTGTTTTGTTCCAGGCGCGGGACATTCAAGAATTCATTCCGCTGATCAATCAGATCATCAGCAGATTCAAGGTACATTTCTAAAGTGTCTTCTTATGCATATTTGTAAATGACATATCTGCCCTTCTCCATTGCTTTCGCGAAGTTCCAAGGGATAAACGTAATAAGAAATCTCGACTGGTACGGCTGAGTCAAGGACTCTTAAGTTGAGATTCTTCTCCTCTTCTTCGATTCCTCCATTTTCTTATCGGTTTTAGTTGTACGAATTTGTAATATCAATGACCAAGTCATACGAGCTCAATATTTCTCTTTTTTTGTTTTCACGTTTCCTCCTAGACTCAAATTGGCCCCTTCCTCAGGGACGTTTTCATGGCAATTGTTAACACAATCTTCACGGTCCTTGGCAAACCAGCGGATGAAAAAGATGCACAGGTTACGAAGGCCTCCTAAACATCTTAAATCTCAAGATATGATAAAAAATTCTGTCATTTAATAACCACATATTTATTTGTTTGTTTGCTAGTCTGGAGAACTAGCAGTCCTATCAGAACAATGTCCCCTAATTGGTAGTTGTCTTTCGTCTCATTAGCGGTCTACTTGATAATCATTGAAATTGTAAGGAGAATCTATAAACTTATCTCTTCTAGGCTGAAACGAGCCATAGGATAACCACGCTCTCTCCTGAAATAGCGCTAGGCTCAAGGATCATCTCTTCCCTATGCTCAAGTTGTGAAAGTGAAATGTTTTCCTTCTTCGACATCAAACCCAACTTGTTCTCTAATTTTGAGTGAGCTTATCTTGATTTGTTCCAAACGTATCTTGAGAACATGTCGATAGTCTATCACGCACTCGGTAAAGGCGTGAAAATTTTGTGTCAACGCGTTGCAGTGGCGAGTTTCATAACCGACATGCGTCCAAAACAGTTCATTCTTTTCCTGTCGCAGACGTTTTAGCTCCCCCTACTTTCTAAGTGCAATATGACGCCCCATTCTATTTAGCACTTACGATAGTGTTGTTCATAATTTCTTGCAGGCTGTCAAGGAAAAGGAAACTTTGAGGCGTAGTTATTTCTTGTTTGTGGGTGCTGTGGTAACTAATGATGTGACAGTGGTCCTCACCTCTCAAAGTGAGTGACAGGTTCTCGTTTCTTCTCTCCATTCGTTTGGTTTTTTTTCTACACCTTTCTCCTTCAGCGTGTGCTGAACTCCAGATCAAGACTTCTGGGCTTCAACCATGGTTGAGCCATTGTGCTGTGTCGTTTAGAGAGACTCTATGAGCTGCTTATTTACACAAAGTTTAGCCGTTTTTTAACAATCATTTTTATGAACAGTGTCCAGAAGACCGAAAGCCAACAGTGGAATGACATTTATTTGATTAAATCAACCCACTTATAGAGAATCCCTTAGGCCCACTGCTCTCATAAAACCGCGGTTTGAGTGAGACTTCGTTATTTAGCCTCTCCCCACCCGGGAGTGTAAATAGGTATTGGCAAATTGTAGGGGAATCTTATTGGAGGGCTGCTGGCGATGGACCACATTTCCATTGTGGAGGAATAGTAAGCACTGTATCCCTTTAGGAAACAGAGATAAGCTAAGGTGGAAATGGACTGACCGATTCGTTAGACCTTATCCCTTTTTTGAAGATTTTACTTGTTGTCGTGTCAACTATTAAAGGGTTGCTGTACTTTGGTATGGTTATTTATTTTGTTCCCCCTTTTAATCTCATGTTAGGTTCGTTTTTGTGTGGCTTACACGAAGTTTAAACCACGCAATGTCATGATCCAAGATATTTAGTGATCTTATCAACTGGCAATTGCCGCCAGGTTGTGGAAGCTGAAATAAATCCTTCGTCGATTTTTCAGTGTTTTTTTTAAGTCCCTTTTTTCCCCCTTGCTTTTCTTTTGAAAATTTACATTGTGCTATCTTCTTTTTTTCATATCAGCTCCCCATGATTTACACCAGGTGTTGTTGACATTGATTCAGGGAGGAGTAGAATTTCCAGATCCGGTGGTAAATACTTTTTTTTTTTTTTCTGATTTAAAATCTAGAATTGTGAAAAATAAACAACGTTCCGCCCACCGCATGCAAGAAAATTTGAAAACGACGTTTACACTCTTTCAACGCAAGATGTGTTTTCTGTCCACACTGGAAAACGGATAAATGCTTTTAGTTCACATTAAAACGATCCTTGACGAATCCTTCAGCATACAGGGGACTCGGTCCAAATGTGTTTTTAGTCTGTCTGATCTTTCTTGAAAGAGTCACCATGCATTTTAGCCATTTTCTTTCTCTGTTTGGTCGTTACGATACCAAATGGAAGCTTAAATCGCCTCCTAAGGGAAAAAGTAAAGTAATTTCTTACAAACCTTCGCCCTGCCGCCTAGCCCCTCGCATTAATGGAAGACGTTCTTTAAACGATTTCTTCTATGTTATTATCAGGCTCAAAAGATTTCCTTCAATATTCTTCGTAAACTGGTTGAACTCTGGGGTAAGGATTTCTACTTCTGTTTTCTAAAAGTGAATTTTATTATTTGAAGAATCATGATTAAAATTGTGTCTCGTTCACTCCTCGTAGGTGGCAGCAATGGATTGAATGGTTTCAGAGAGTTCATGTACGAAAATATTGTACCTGCAACGTTTGTGGCTCCAATGAAGTCGAACTTTGACATGAATGACGCACAGACTATTTTGGTATGTAACTATTAGCCTCTCTCGTCTTATTTTTTAGTGCTCAGAGAGAGCGTTGTAACTTACCTTCCCTCTATGATAGCATACAGAGCCCTTTCCGATTAATCATTGGAAAACCAAAACCAAAGGAATCGGAAGTTACCTTAAAGAACCAATGTGAAGGTAAAGTCGAAATAATCAAACCGCTAAAGCGCGGGAAAACGCGGGCGACCAAGTCGTGGTTGGTTTTAGTGTCTCCTCTGATTGGTTGAGAGAGGGGCACGAGTTTTCAGGACCAATCATAGAGCAAAGTAAAGCGAAAACAAAGCAATCCAGGATTACTTTTTATACTCAATTTTAAATTGCTCTATCCCGTTGGGTCTCAATCAGCTAGGATATTTGGCCTTCCTAAAGCCTTCTTCGTCATTGTGAATAGTTTCTTTTACGTAGCTATCGCGTTAGAGCGGTTCTCGTCTGAGCTTTGTTCAAACAAAACCAAAAATATTCACGACTTCTAAACAGGTTAAAATTTCTGCTCATGACCGTTTTGTCTGTCCAACAGGCTTTGCAGGAAATTGCTCTCACGCAGAAAATGATTTTGCAGAAACAGGTATGGCTGTTTGCAGTCAATAGATATGACTAAACATCCAATCAATTTTTCAGCCGAAGGGCATCTTTGTAAATTGGTTGGGATAATTTACTGTTATATAAAAATGAAGTCCTCCAGTTAAGTTTAAAACTTAACTTTTATTACTTATAAACTGACGTGGGAGACACGGTCTGGGCTCGAGACCTGGACGGGTCAATGTGTTGTTTGCAAAACAATTCACCCTCACAGTGCCTCTGTCCACCTAGGAATATTCACCCGGTGAGTTGTCGGGGAAGCCTGATGAAATGCTAAGAGATAACCTTGTGATGGACTAGCATCCTATCCAGGGGATAAGGAGTTGTGATACTCCTACATTTGTTGTAGCTTCATGCGAAGGAAACCGAGATAAGTTCTGGCCGGGTGGGCCACTGGGCTCAAGTTAAGACTTTTTTCACTTTCCTATTGGCTGATGTAGAAAAACTTAAGAAGAATTTGCATGTCAATCGCTGGTGAGAATACTCCTGGATTAATATCCTCTTTTTCTGTGGCTTTCAGGGAATAGAGTTTATAGAATTCCTACAGAACAAATACCTTCCAACACTTCAGATTGCACCAGGACTCATTCAGGTAGGCGCTAGCTTACCGTGGATGGTTTATCGATCAACTCTCTTTGTCGGGTCTCCCTCATTTGTTTTCCAGGTCGAAATAAGAATTTGGAGTGTTGTTCTTCGCAGAGGGGGACGGGGAGAAAAAACCCTTGGAACAACATCAAATAAAACCCATATGTAACGCCAGGTCTGGAAATCAAACTGGAACGCTTTCACCATTGCGTCATCCCTGCCCCCCCCTAGGGAAATACCCTCAGACGTTTCTTTCCCCCCCCCCCCTTGCCCCTGGAAATAACCTCCGGAACAACCTTCGTATTTTACCTACGGACGTTACCCTTAAACATCATGCCCCCGACGTCAATCTGAACGCTACATCTGGACATTACCTTCTGGATTTTTTCCCCGGACTTAATCCTCCGGACATTCCCCACGGACATTCCCGACGAACATTCCCCCCAACTGACTCCTTCCCTTCCCTTCCCTGACGGATATTGTTAATTCGTTTGTTTATTTGCTTGTTTTTTTTTACTGTATTCTTAGGAATATACAAGGGCTTTACAGCACGCAGACATAAAAACCTTCAAGAACTATATAAAGGTACCTTGGGGATGACTTGTTTATTTTATTCATTTATTCATTGATTTATATTTTTTTCCTTTTATTTACTTCTTTTCTCGTGTGTTTTCTGCATTTACGATTCCTCTCTGTTAAAGCCGAGACAAGTAATGGTAATTGTATTGCATCTAAATGACTCTTTATCCAGGCTTAAGTTTCCCACGCCGTTATGCTTTCCGTCACGTAACACTCGTTACGGAACGCGCTTTTATGGTTGCGTGACGAGCCAAATAGGAACGGTGCTGAATCTGCCTATTCGTGCTCCGCGATCTCCAATAATGGTCTATAGAATAGTACTAAACCTAATTCTCCCTAATCCTATCTAAATTAAATATTTAAATGCAATGGTAGTCGGCATGCTTTCAGTGCTTTGTATGATGTTTGTGGTCAACAACTGTTTATTTATTTATTGTTTTCAGGCTTTTTTCACCAACCTTCGTTCTTGACCAAGGCTAAGTCCCTTCACCACCAAACGGAGGGAACGAGTTTTGTTTAATATTAATATATGTAGTTACAGTGTGGTGGCTGTAAAAACAAAGGATAGAGTTTTACTTTAATTTTATTATAGAGATGACAGCGTCCCCGAATAAGAAAATCGAAACAGTTAGTGTTAAACACAAAATTTTACAGATCAAAGGTTGAATGATATTTTCAATTTGAGCAAAGCCTAAAACGGTTCTTGAAATTATCTTGAACATACTAAACTACCTCATAAGCTATTCTTTTATTTTAAAAAGAGTCAGTATTTGGTAAACCTGTCAAAATTGCAAATCTGCTCTCTTTTAAATAGAAAATAGCACCGAATTTTCTACAAATTCTTTTATATTGGTAGCAGGGTCACCGATTTATGATGGTGGGTTTTCCTGTAAAAGTGACAGCACTTACTTCAGTCTAAAACTTTTAAACTGAGCCTTTATTTAAGGGTACCGCAATCTCGCTCAGTGAAAGGGTGTTGAACAGATCCATTGTTACGTCTAGAGGGTAAATATTATTCTGTAAAGAAACAAACAAATTACAACGGTATTCTTTTTAGAAGAACACACTAGTCAGAGAAAGGCAGTGTGCCTCTATCCCGTTCACTCCTAAGATCTAAATATTAATTCTCTGCACCGTCTGCCTTACATTTCATATACTATTAGTTCTGAGAATTTGGTGTCAAGTCAAGCATCATCCCGCTGGTGATGATTTTTCTTGCTCTCTATTACCTTTCTGCTTGACATTATATTGATATTGCAAGGTGGAAAAGTGTCCCTTTGATCGCTCCTGGGATTACAATTCTTAAATTTGAATATTATGGCTTGGAAACTAGTCAGTCTGTGCATGCATATTTAAGCGTTTGCTGGCAAATGGAGAAATTTACTTTGGGGTTCACTTGTAGGTCTCTAATCGCTATAAATTTCCTGCAGAAGTATTACTCATATTCGCAAAAATGCAAATATATTCAATTTATTGCTCAAAGGCGGACAAGAAAAGTTAAATTTTTGCTGTCTGCTTTCGCTCTAACCCGGTTCTTAATAATGTTAATTTGTTATTATAAATTATTTCAAGACCTTGATTTGTTAATAGTATCCTACATGTACAGAAGAAAGAATTTCGCTTTAAATTAACCCAAAGAAGTCAACCATATTTTTTTCTTACGTCGCCTTTGTTTTTCCACTGTATTTCGTCAACCACGAACACAAACTTGTTATTCAGGCATAGACATATTTTTTTTTACGCTTTTTACGAACATTAAGTAGCGTTCATGTTTAGAGACAGGCAGAGGAACTCTAGATAAAGAGATAACAACCTTTGAAAACCGTCATGTTTTGTTATTATCTGTTCTGTCACCTTTCGTAGAAATAAGTTGGGTAAGATATCCGCTCAGCCCTTTACTTTATTATGCATACAGTCTTGGATAAAGAAAACAATGACGAAGGTAGAACGAAACTGTGTAGAAATCTTACCATGAGTTATCTTCGTCGCTCCAAGTGGGTTACAAAATTCAGAAATGGAAATTGAGGCGCAGAGAAAAAGAACTTATTGAAATAGGCAAGTGTTTCTCTCGAGACCAAAATTCTAAGACCGGTTGCTCATTGATTGTAGGCTCAATACCGATCTTTTGTAACCTAATTCTTCTTCGATCTTTCTTGTCCCACATTTCCCTTAAAAGGTATATCTGTTTATATTCTTAGAAAAACCGGCGGAAGGATCGAAACTGGACTGAGTTACCTTTTTTCTCGGAATAATCAACTCTATGTTATCATCCGGCTTTTCTGATGAGTTGGAAAGAAATTTTACGACAAGTTAAGTATCTGCGTGTATCGTTTTACCTGAGGAAATGCTGAAGTGGATAAATTCTCTTTTGAAGTGTCTTCGTGTGAAAAGATGACTAATTAGATCTAGGCGCAACCTTTTGAAAATACTTCATGAAAACAAAGCGTTAACTTCACTTGCGGTACATAAAAATTTGGGGAATCTATGGAGCTCTCACAGATGAAATAATTTCAAGTTTGTGTGTTAGCTATAAGCGGTGAGTGACCATCAGCACATTATTTATTGTCAATGTACTGCTCTGAGAATATTTAATTTCCAAGTGTTTTTAATCATTTGGGATCAAGCAGGGACGAGATGACCATTGACATGCAGAATTTTGCACCACTAAAAGTTTATTACTTTAATCTTTACCCAACTTGTATGTACACCTTCATTGATCTTTCTTTCTAAGGAAACTACTCACTTAATTCCAAGTTAATTAAGCAATATTTATTAAGCTCCTGATCGTGCTACCTCGATTCAGTTAATTAACCTTTGCACACCCAAGAGTGATAAGCAACCGATGTCTTCAGTCTTATAGCATCACTGCTGAGTCAAATATTAAGGTCCTGAGAATACAGAAAAAGATCGTCAGCTGAAGACGCTCTTAATCATTAAAGAAATTCTCCTTGTCAGTGCGGGAACAGTATGGGGAACATACTGGTGTAAGATGGTGTAATGCTTTAGGCTTACTAAATCAAATGCCACACTTGGCCAATTAATTTCATTTATGCTATTCAAAAGTATCACAAAATGAGACTACTTGTGATCAAGTGCCGGTATTTTCCTTTTCAGCAAGGGAATTTCAAATGAGGTTTCAAAATAATCCTTTATCAATTTTGCATTTATGACCGTGTACGACACGTCATTTACCAAGGAATTTCCTTTCCGTCCCAAGCAAAAAACTTCCCATTATCCTTCACTTCCAGTCCTTCGATCACCTTCATGAGACAATTTACAGAATACTCCGGGGTAAATATCTTGGCGGGGTCAATATTTCTGTGGTATCGTCTCGACAAATCTGTGTTCACTGTTCCAGGATGTAAACAAACACATATGACCCGCTTCCTTCCAAGCTCGATACTGAGATTTTTCGTAGCCATATTGAGAGCCGATTTAGACATTCTGTAACTGTACCAGCCACCTAAAGCATTATCCGAGATCGATCCAACTCTAGCTGATATATTTACCAGAATCCCAGCCAAAGCATTCTTATCTGCACTGGTTCTCTTCGTTAGCATTGGACTAAAATGTTTCGCCATTATCAAGGGGCCTAACGCATTCGTTGCTAAAGTCGTCTGTAGACTTCGTAGATCGACCTCTCGCAGGCTTGTTTCTCCTTTACCACTAGGATGCAGCATCCCAGCGCAGTTTACCAACAAATCGAGTTTCGTATCTCCAACGCTAACAGCCACTTCAGACATTTGATTTTCATCTAAGACATCGACACGATGAATTGATAGGAGGTCGCCATGATCGATTTTAAGTTGAGTCAATTCTTGGGCTTTTGAAGGGTCTCTGCATGTTGCAATCACAGACGTTTGTTTAGAAAGCAAGTAACGGCACATTTGAAGACCAATACCGCGGCTTGCGCCTTGAATCAAAGCGCTTTTGATCATGTTTTCGACGTCGTTTTCGCCTTGACATCTAAAGAGGAAGTGGCATTATGTAATCGATCCACAGCCAGCCCAAGCTCCAGCTTTGAGACGATCTCTTGCGAAAGTTTGCATGGGAATGTTTACGACCGCTCAAAGGAATGAAAAAAATAAGTCAAATTCTCAATACAGTTGCCTCACCTTACTTCCACAGTGCATCGCTTGTTATCTGACCGCTTAATACGTTGAAGGGAACCCATTCTAGCGAGTTATCCGTTTCGAAATTTTCCGCGTACATCGAAAGGTGATCAATCATTTCACAGCTGGAGCTTGGACTACCTGTGATCAATCGTGACAGAAGGCGAGAGAGGCATGGAACGGGGATTGCATGACAGAAACTGAAAGTACACGCGGGAAATTCAAACGAGCAAACGGTAATTAAGCTGTTTATAGCTCGGTAAAAATCCCTAGCTTCGGTTTTCTTTCAGAGCATAGTTTCGAAATTAAACGAAGCAGTGAGTAAGATAATTGGTTCTATAAGATTCTTTAGGCTGGCTGTTTTCTTTCCAGCAGCTCAAAGGTAGGTTTACTTCAGCCACCGAGTTAGCGTGATTTTCATTATCATTTTAAGCGTTGATCGAGGTTCGTGTTCCTCGTGTAGGTATCGGAAACAACGAAATTTATTATTCAGTTCACGAATTCCAATCTACTTTCCACTCTTTCATGTTGAGTTAGACAATTTTTTCAGTTATTAAAACTTCACATGCTCAGGGGAGGTTAGAGGCTTTTGAGAGAACTTGAACTGATTACCATCAGTACTTCAATAGTTATTTGGTGCTGGGAGAGAAAACACACTGTCCGAACAGACTTAACTTTATTTCCTTAGCTATATTTAGGGATGCAGGTGGTTGGGATAACTTTGAAGGGGTATTTTAACTGTTTAACTCCTAGTAATGATGAACATCTAACTTCTCTCTATAAAATCCTTACAATATCCAGCAGTCAGGTAATGAAAGTACTCAAACATATAGATAGATAGATAGATAGATAGATAACTTTTATTTATACACAATAATATTTTAAGCTACAGGCTTGTGGGGTAGACTGTGAAGCAAAAAGGAAATTACACGTTATGTAAATATAACTTGAATTTGAAAATAGAAAATGATATATATTATAACTTTCAAGTTAAAACAAATAGTATGTATAAGGCCAGCAGTAGAAGTGGAAAGTATGTCAAATTTGAATTTCTTAAGTAGTCTCTGGTGAGTAGGTGTTTTTTCAGATTGTTGAGACTCAGGTGTCCAACTTCTTGTTCATAGTAGCAAATAGTGTTCCATAACACAGCCCTGCAATATTTTAGGGAGTCTTTCATGTACCTTGTTTGGAACCTGGGTACTGTTAAAAGGTTGGTCCTCTCAGAGAATAACCATTTGAGCAACATTTACACATGTTTTCAGACAGTGAGTCAGGGAGAGTGGTATTATAGCCTGTGTAAAAAAACTTGAAGATGTTCGATTTATAATACAAAGAAGGTATAGGCCACTGGTCATATCTAAGCATGTTGGATGATGTCATATCTTTAGGTAGATTAAATCTAATTCTTGCTGCCCTGCAGTGTAGTCTCTATTGAACCAAATATATCAGTATTATTACAAGATCCCCACAGAACTAAACCATATTTCACAGAAGTCAAAATTTCTTTGAAATAAAATTCTTTAAATATATCCCTTGGGAGAAATCTGGGTCGTTTCAGCAAGTTCAGTTTGTTAGCAAAGCTCTCAATGGTTTCCAGTACATGCAGTACCCAGCTGAGTTTCTGGTCAACTGTCAAACCCAGCAAGCCTGCTTTCATAACCACATCAGAATTGAGGTTCCTAAAAGCACAAGAGCTATTGATCCCATCAGGGTTCCTTTACTGTGTAACATAACCTCACTCATGCCTGGATTAGGTGTTACATGGTTGTTAAAGCACCATGCATGTAACTCTTGCAGTACTGCATTAAACTGTGCAATAGCTGTGTCTGCAGTTTCTCCTATACAATAGACTAACATCATCTGCATACATATACAGTGATCCTGAGCTGACAGAGGATGGAAGGTTGTTTGTGAAAAGTGTGAAAAGAGTCTGTCCTAGCACTGATCCCTGGCTAATGCCAAAAGTGAATGAAAGACAGCAATTCACCACCATGAATTGCTGTCTTTCATTTATATAACTCCTAATCCAATCAAGAAACGTGCCTGTATAATGCCAAAGTCACATTTCAGCTTCTTTTCTAGTATATTGTGGGAAACAATGTCAAATGCTTTTTGAAAGTCTACAAAAGCCACAGCCACCACCTTCTCTGAGTTGAGGGCTGCTCTTCATGTTTCTGTCAGATGCATCAGCAGTAGTTCCATTCAATTTCTGGCACAGTATGCCAATTGTCTATCTCAAACTAGATTGTTCTCTCTGAAAGCCTGTTGCACAATGTTATCATTGACTTCAGAGTCCATGATCTTGTTTGGTACGCTATGCAAAGAAACCAGACAGTGGTTTCCAAAATCAGTTGCATCAACTTTTTTTAATAAATAGGTGTAAGCCTAGCTGTTTTCCAACTGGAGAAAACCATTTTATATTCAATGATACTGTGATAAAAACAAACAGAGAAGATAGAATTTGTTATCCTGATCTAAAATGAAACTCTCGTAACTAATCTACAAGGAAATGTGTAGCAGCTAGAGGGAGGAATCCTGAGGGAACTTCTCATGGCCAATTTATGTTATCAACTGAGTTGATAAAACTAAATTAACCTGTTATACTCTCTACTGGTGTAGCACCACAGTTTCTTGAGAAACTTACCCTCTTTATTCCTTGTAAATTAGTTATGAATTTGGTGTTGGATCAAGATATCAACTTCTACCTGATAAGTTTGAGTATTCTCATTACCTGTTAGCTGGATAATGTGAGGATATTATGAAGAGAAGGTTTATCTTTATCACTTCTGGGAGTTAAAGGGTTAAGAGTCAGGTACTGGTCAGGAAGGAATATACTATAAGCTAAAATATGCTAGTATTTTGAAGGACAGTTATATAAACGACACTTTGCTTTTTATCCTACAAAACAATTATATTCCATGCTGCTGTGTGTTTATTTAGCTAAATAGGGTAATTTAATATTATCAACTGAGTCAATAACATAAATTGGCAACCATAAAGAGTCAGGAGGCTGATGTTTTGAGCATTAGTTCTTCGTCAAAACATCAGCCCTAAAACTTGGCCAATTTACGCTATCAACTCGGTTGAAAACACTAGATTACCCTGTTATACTGTCCCACTAACACAACACCACAGTTTCTTTAGAAACTTACCCCCTTTATTCAGCTAAATAGATCACAGATGAAATCAAAATGTGGTAAGGACATCAGAGACACACTCAGCTGCACCTCATCTGCCACTTTTTTGTTCTTACCACATCATTTTGATGTCATCTGTGATCTATTTCTGAACTGATTCATTGTTGAATTATGTGACCCTTGACAGTTACCACTATTATCTGCATCATATGGGAACCATTTGGTTGAAAGTCAAACCTGTAACATGCAGTCACCCATAAGGAATGCCAGAGTGACTGTTTAACCCTTTAACTCCCAGTAGAGATTAACATGAAACTTCTCCCAATAATATCCATACATTATTCAGCAAATCAGCAATGAGAATATTCAAAGTTATCAGGTAGAGGCTGCTATCTTGATTTAGCACCAAGTACTTATAACTAATTTACAAGGAAGTGTCTAGCAGCTAGAGGAGAGAATTAACAATCAGATCTTAGGAGAAAAAGGATTAATACAGGTTGACTGCTTAGCACAGGTTGACCAGCAATTGATTTGCATGATGTTATCTTTCTTTTATGTCCTAACAGTGCATAAAAGAAAGATAATCTACAATGCATTGCAGACATTTGAACTCGAAGTGCTAACATAAATTTTTCTTGAGAGAAAACTTTTGGTTTTACTGGAGTAGATCTGCTTTACATCACTGTTTAATACAGGGAAAAAAATTCTGGACTTTGACGACTGACCACTTAATATAGGCTGACTGCTTGATTGTTAACAGTTTCAACTTGTTCCACCATTGTAAGCAAATGAGATTATTTGAGCAAAATTGGTCAGGTGAATTTGTTTTACTGTGACAGCACTTTTCGGGTAGTCATTCTAAAAGAGTCTCGAGGACTATTTTAAGGTTGAATAACTATAGTATGGTTTTAGTTCCATCCTTGATCTCAAGATCTGGCTTTTTTCAGGCAGCAGTAGCTGTTGTATTTGTGGAAGTAGTTTTGTATATGTTCAACCAAAGGTGTGAACTACAACTTAGCCTACAACTTGAGACCTATTTAGAAAATGGATGAAACTTGGGTTTTAAGAAAACAGGACACACTTTTGCCTTCAAAAAATGTTTTAAAAGCTTTCTAGATTTATTTAAATCATAAGAAGATAGATGGACAAGACAAATTTGGGAGAACCTTTTGTACGTATATGCTCTCTGTCTTTGTAAGAGTTGTGTTCTTGTTGATAGGAAATTAAAAATCTTTTAAGATCAGCATTAGTTGAAAATCTAATGTGTGCCAAGGTTTTGAATAACAAAAACTAGTACCAATTTTCACAGGCTGCAGGGCTAACTTTTGGGGAATTCCACCTAATTTTTTGAGCTTGTGATTTGGATTCAAAACTTTTCATGTATCTTAATTTCATCTAAAATCCTCCAGTCACCTTACTTCATGGAACATTTTTTTTTCATCTGCAGAGAGTTGTTGATAAGTTCTAAAATTGTTTGGGGGCCACTGAAAGCAAGACCCAAGTGAAAATCAAGGTGTGTTTCTTGAAATGTGTAACTTGATCATAATAGTGCAACTGCTTTGGTCAGTGTGCCATATCTTGCCTTTGTCATCCACACAGGGTACCCAAGGTGATTGTTAAACTGAAGTACTCGATTTGAACTTGGTGTTAAGACAACTTCTTTGGTACTTAATTGAGAGGAACATTACTTGTAATGAAATGAAATCTTCTAAGTAAATAAACTACAACAGCGATCATTCTTCTCAGGCTTAGCGAATAGTATTAGACATTTTTCAAATCATTTCTGGGGGTAATTCTTAGATGGTAGTACCGATTCATTACTTCGTCAAAGTTTACGTTCAACTTAACCTATATAACTGATAAACGTTACGTTGGCTAATAAGTATGAACTTGC